GTGTCATTGATGAACACAAGTGGGACCGATGAGCATGTGAGCATCTGCAGGTCAAACGAATCGGCTGGAGTTTCTGCCATTCCAAAGTTTGCATGTCTCAAAACTGTCATCGATGAACGCTATTGTGACCGTCGAGCGTTACGGACAAACAGTCAACGCATAGTATAATTCAAAATTCTGAATATCCAGAATTCAATTGACTTAACTTTTAATTCCTAAGTATTTCGATTGTTTCAATACGTGTCACGAGTGTTAGGCAAACGTAACAAAGGCTAACAGGGCGTGTGGCGCAACGGATAACGTGCTGACTACGGATCAGAAGACTCCAGGTTGGAATCCTGGTACGTTTGGTATTATGGGACATGTATTAGTTTTTAAGTTATATATGTATGTTTTCATCACAACATCAACTTTACGACAGAGCAACTCACCTGCGATAAACATATGTCATATGAATCCCAAAATCTGTTTCATTTTCTCACATGTGTCATTGGTGAACACCGTTGGGACCGATGAGCATGTGAATCTGCAGATCGAATGAATCGGCTGGAGTTTCCGCCGTTCCAAAATTTACATGTCTCAAAACGCAATTGTGACCGACGAGCGTTACAGCCAAACAGTTAACGCAAACTATACTTCAAAATTCTGAATATCCAAAATTCAATTGACTTAACTTTTAATTCCTATGTATTTCGATTGTTTCAATATGTGTCACGAGTGTTAAGCAAACGCTTCAAAGGTGAACAGGGCGTGTGGCGCAACGATAACGCGTCTGACTACATATCAGAAGATTCCAGGTTCAAATCCTAGCACGCTCGATATTATGGCACATGTATAAGTTTTCAAGTTATATATGTATGTTTTCATCACAACATCAACTTTACGATAGCGCAACTCACCTTCGATAAACATGTGTCTTATGAATCCCAACATCTGTTTGATTTTCTCACACGTGCCTTTGATGAATACCGGTGGGACCGATGAGCATGTGAATCTGCAGATCAAACGAATCAGCTGGAGTTTCTGCCGTTCCAAAATTTGCATGTCTCAAAACTGTCATGGATGAACGCTATTGTGTCCGTCGAGTGTTACGGACAAACAGTCAACGCATAGTATAATTCAAAATTCTGAATATCCAGAATTCAATTGACTTAACTTTTAATTTCTATGTATTTCGATTTTTTCAATACGTGTCACGAGTGTTAGGCAAACAAATCAAAGGCGAACAGGGCGTGTGGCGCAACGGATAACGCGTCTGACTACGGATCAGAAGATTCCAGGTTCAAATCCTACCACGCTCGATATTATGGCACATGCATTAGTTTTCAAGTTATATATGTTTGTTTTCATCACAACATCAACTTTACGACAGAGCAACTCACCTGCGATAAACATATGACATATAAATACCAAAATCTGTTTCATTTTCTCACACGTGCCATTGGTGAACACCAGTGGGACCTTTGAGCATGTTAGCATCTGCAGGTCAAATGAATCGGCTGGAGTTTCCGCCGTTCCAAAATTTGCATGTCTCAAAACGCAATTGTGTCCGACGAGCGTTACAGCCAAACAGTCAACGCAAACTAAACTTCAAAATTCTGAATATCCAGAATTCAATTGACTTAACTTTTAATTCAAATGTATTTCGATTGTTTCAATACGTCACGGTGTCACGACTGTTAGGCAAACGTATCAAAGGCGAACAGGGCGTGTGGCGCAACGGATAACGAGTCTGACCACGGATCAGAAGATTCCAGGTTCGAATCCTGGCACGCTCGGTATTATGGTACATGTATTAGTTTTCAAGTTATATATGTATGTTTTCATCACAACATCAACTTTATGACAGAGCAACACACCTGCGATATACATGTGCCATATGAATCCCAAAATCTGTTTCATTTTCTCACACTTGTCATTGGTGAACACCGGTGGGACCGATGAGCATGTGAACATCTGCAGTTAAAATGAATTGGCTGG